ACAACAAATCATGTTCATACACATAAGAGAGAGAGAGAGAGAGAGAGAGAGAGAGAGAGAGAGAGAGAGAATTCGTCGGTGATTGACACAATCGATCAGGGATTTGATCAGCCTTGGTTTTGTGACCGATCTGCGATTCATCTATGACTGAACTCCGGCCCGCAACTTATGTGCGATAGATGGCTAGTGTCTTTCGATCTGCAACTGATTTCTCAATCCTGCAACCGGCCTGTCCCCCATCCACAACAGACCTGCGACTTCTGTACATTAATCCACCATTGACCTGCGATGTGAGTTATCATGGATTGGTCTGTGAGTGATCTCAGATTGATATGCAATCGATCTTGGACAGATTTGACAACGGTCTATCGATTGATGCATTTTTCACAGATATAAGGCAAATGCGCGAGAATGGGAACTGCTGACGCGCCTCGATCAACACCAGAGTTCAGCCAGATGTGTGACGCATCTACAAAGGGAGGTAGGCTAGCCAGATGTGTAACACATCTACAAAGGGAGGTAGGCTAGCCAGATGTGTGACGCATCTACAAAGGGAGGTAGGGGCTAGCCAGATGTATACGACGCATCTACAACCATCGTTAAGCCATTGTGTGGCATCTCGTCCAGCTCAAAATACGGCAGTTATTGTCCAAAGGGATGCGACGTACGTACAATAGATCAGCCAAAATACAACTGCGAGATGAATCTGTAGACTCCACACACCTGCTCTACAGCAGATCGAACTGGTATCCCGACATATATCTATACCAGCAATCTACAACAATCCAAGGTCTAGGGTTTAGGGTTTAGGAATACCTCAATTATGAGCATACATCTGACATATAATCCATTATAAAGTTGTAAGCACACAAAAGTCGTATTCCAGTCTAAGTGAGTCCACAACTCGAACTTCGTAATGCGCCGCATGTTTTCAGTCCAGGCATGTATGGAAGCAAGATGATATGCAGGCTCCACATCTTTAACCTGAACCACTAATAAAATAAACCACCACCACCTCCACGTTTTTAGGTACTGGTGGTTTAACCAATCTGTGTCCTCCAGCCATTAACGCATCAGATAGCGCGTGGATGAATCGGCCTGCCACACGCATCAGTTGTATTCATTTGAATAAACAACAACAAAAAATCGTCCGCGAATAGTTCTAGATACTGGTGGTTTAACCAATCGGACGCACATTTTTCATGAACAAGCGCATTTTCAACATTTATGTCAGTTCCTTGGCCGCAGATCCACAGTACATCCTACCACTAGATTGATGCCGGTACATGGTATGCTATGTACATCACCCCCCAAAACACCGGAGGTATCATTTGCGGGGGCACATAACACCCACCAGCATCTGGTTACGCACCCCCCTCCCGTACTCTTTCAACCATATCCAATACTCGGAGCACACACTTTGTAACCGGCTGCCCAACAAACATCCCGGATGGACAGGTTACGTCCCTCTCTCTCTCTCTCTCTCTCTCTCTCTCTCTCTCTCTCTCTCTCTCTCTCTCTCTCTCTCTCTCTCACACACACACACACACACACACACACACGCACAAACACACACACACACACACAAACACACACACACACACAAAATCAGTTTTATGTATGTTATATTGTTCTATGTCGGTCTTTCTCTTTTTGTATGCTTTTTTGCTATTTTTTATGTGCCCAGCGGAGCACCTGTAAGCATTGCCAAACAGGAGGTAATTCCTCATTTGGAGGGCCTGCACCACTCTCAAGGGGGCCGCTCGGTTCGGGATGTCTATGCTGCCTGTGAGCGAGGACGTATGTTTGTCGTCCGGTTGAGTCCCTTGCTCAGTGGGTGGTGGGAACCAACAGTCTGCCAGGTTCACCCATGATGTGAGTGAGCGATGTGCGGCTTTGCTCCATGTTGGATCTGAGACTGCCTCATCTGTACTCCGCCGCTGCCTTGCTGCCCAGGTCCCCTTGCTTCGCATGTAATTCTTTGCAAGCTGCTGTGTTCACCATGTGGCGTGGCTGTGGTGTGGCAGCGGTGTTGGTGTTGCGGTGTGCTTCGCTGCTCTGCTGCCTTGCTGCCCAGCCTCCTGATGAGTCAGTGCAACTCCGCCGAAACAATATATCATCAGCTTTATTTATTTCGGTCTTCGTGTTTCAGTTATTTCAGTTAGGCTGTTTTGTGTGTTCGTGTGTCGTCTGCCCTCCCACCTCCCCCGTGCTATCCAGCCTTTGTCCTTTGACGCAGCCTCTCGGCCTACGCCTTGCTGGTTGTCTTGCGTTGTTTTCTTCCTCAGAGTCTGTGTTTGTGTGTCATCTGCCCTCCCTGTGATCCTCATAGATCTCTCACCAGTGTCTGTATTTCGAATGCTTTGCACTTTTCCGTAATTTCGACCGTACTGCCAACCGGTAGTCACAATGACGGTGAGCGTGGCTGTATCGTGTTAAGGACATCGTACATGTACGTGTGTTAATACACACTCATACCCACACATTTGTACACGTCCATGACAGAGGGGGCAAGAAGGCGCCCCACCTGACTGTGCGATTTTTGACATCTCCATACAAATACAGTCAGACGTTGACGGAATTCGACGCTGCTCGCGGGACTCGGTCCCCGGTTACAGGTTCTTGCCCAATCAACAGGGCCACAAAGAATGGAATATGACACCACATTAAGCCAGCATTTGATCCAAAATATTTAAATTTTCTTCCCAGTCGGCAAGCCCTGGTCAGTTGCGGAAATAATGAAGCGGTCTAGGCGACTTCAGCATAGAGTAGAAACGTTTCTAGTCGGATGAATGTAGGCGAGTCTCGTGAATCAAACATCTGTGTAATAAACATGTGCACATCAGAAATCACTTGCCGAACTTGCAGTCAGGCTGAACTTTATCCAGGTTGTTGCCTCAAAACTCTCTCCCCCCCTCCTCCCCTACACCCCCAAGACCTAACCTTATGGTTCTGGCTCATTTTCCATTCTGGGGAGCATCGGTCCGGATCTTATTCTGCCAGCAAGTCATGGTTACACATTACAATGCACTCAAGACGCTTCCCCACATTATGGTTGGAAGACCCGAATGGGTGGGGTGGCCTTGACGACTTCCATTCGGGAAGCATGTACCCCCCCTCACCCCTGCTTAAACCACCCGTACTTCCTAGAGTCTTGCCCGTTAACAAGCCACGGTTTCCGGAAACGTACGGGCCACTACATGAGCGCCCACATTCATCCGACTAGAAACATTTCTACTCTATTGTTTTTCCGCAGCCGATTGCTAGCCCAAGTACTGCTGGTTTAAATTAGCCTGTTGCTACTGTGTAGTTACTCCCGGACTCATATCCCTACGCATCTCCCCTTAGGGTGATACTGTCCTGCTGTTTGGGCTCGTTGACGCTGTGCACCTCTCCGCTCAGGCTGCTCGCTGTCTGATCTGCCTACCTAGGCCTACCAACTTCCCCCGAATACAACCTACGGTCATTATAGATGTATCTGGGGTATCTTTCAGTCTAAATACAGCTATCATGACCATAAACTGTATTCGGGGGAAGATGGTAGTGCTCTGTGGCCCTCAGTTGCTTCCACTGATTGTTTTCAGATTTCTCTCCATCCTATGCCTGTGGTGCTTCTGCGTCCCTGTGGGGTGTGTTTTCCCAACTCTTTCTCTCTCTAGCAAGTAGCCTGTCGAGGAACATTCTTAAAAACTGGTTCCGGATTGTTCTGCACTGACTGTTTGTGGTGGGTTTTTTTTTTTTTTTTTTTTTTTTCCTGTTTGTGATTGATTCTGCTAAAACCCTAATTTCAACAGCTTATGAGTCGCATAGGGTAACTACGGGGCAGTCACAAAAAGCAGTTTGAAATTACACTTCAGGTGTTCCCCCGAACACAACACACCCCCAGGTAACCCTACCTGACCAGAAAGCTAGCTTGTATACATTTTGTGCGAAGGGCAATCTGAAAATTTTCTTTTGCCCAAAGTGTATTTTCAAACTCTTTTCGTGACTCCCACGTCGTTTCCCCTTTTTTTAAATCAGGGAATTTAGGGGTAGTATCTTACTCTGTGGCATGGAATATACATCCCTCTCGGTAGGCACATGGATTTGCTCGGTCGATTCTGTACCTATCCCTCCCTTCATTTCTCCCATGTTATCCCGCACTAAGCGAAACTGGGCTACTGGTCTACATGGGAGGTCCTTCCGCCTCAGGGGGCACTCGCTACTCGTGCCATGCATGTTTGTACTTAAACCACCAGTACTTGGCCCATACATCAGCCGCGGGGCGTAGCCGTTAACGCCCTGCAATTTCCGGAGGCTCGGGGTACCGGCCCCCAAAGGCTGGCACCGCCAGCCAAAACAATTTTTTTCTTGTTGCGCTGGCGGTCGGCGCGAGACAGCGTGCAGCCCATTTTCAGGCTCTGCATCGACAGCTGGACCAAGTACTGGTGGTTTAAGCCACCGGTACTTACGATGTGCTTTTCTCCAACCCTGGGATGCCCTGAGCACCAAAAAACAGACCGGTGTGGGTCATTGATGAAATTCATCAACGGACCAGCGTGGCCGATAACTGGGCGAAGTAGTACCGGTGGTTTAAAGAAGTACAAACTTCGTCCAGACCGTGCCCAGGTTCACAAACACATTTCACTGCTCGGCTTCAACTCCTCATCTCGAGAGGTTCGCCCAAACGTCACTCTCATAACGAGTTCGGCTCTTTCTGTCCATGTGCAACGTTCGTGTCATCTCCTGATGACCTTAAATTTTCCTCCTTTCATTTCTAATCCGCTAGATTTTCACATGTGCTCACCGTTTAGTCTTTTGCATGTTTTCTGCAGTTATGGATTCAGCATATTTATTCTTTTTCTTTCTGTGGATGCTTTCCCCTTGTCATCCTTTGCATGTTTTCAACGGTTTCTGTTTTTTTAATTAATTTGGACCACTTCTCGATTTATGCATGTCATCCTCCTTGAGCGCAGGGGCCATTTGGTAATCTTCTCAATTTATGTTTTCAATGGTTTCTTATCGTTATAACTTGCAATCAGCCTTTTCTTTCTTCATTTTTTTCCCCCAGATCCTCGCTTGGTTTCCTATAGTTGTGATCATCCTTTCTTTTTTCCCCCGTCTCCCAGACCCTTGCTCTTCGTCTTCTGAACGTTGTCTTCCTCTTCGCTTTTCCTGTCTAGTCTCATCAGGGCATACTTTCACACTAAACTTTCCTGGATGTATTTAACCAGAATTGCACCTTGACCTGAATGTATCTGACTGCAATTACGTCCGGAGCTCCGTCGAAAAAGTCAGTGTGTACATAATGCGCTCAGATACTTGAGAATCATAACTTCCGAGTCAACCCTTGTGCGACTCCTAAGGCACTTTGCGTTTGCGACCTTGTGCACTCTGTGCGTTAGGGAGCTCCTTGGCGAGAGAGAAAACAGCTCCGCAGGTCGAACACTCGCGAGAGAACTGGCAGAAAATGGAAAGGCATACGGAGCAAACGAACCCCAGGTCGATCGTCCGCTTATGGCAGAAACAAGAGGCGCGGAAGTCGACGCCAAATTGGCGTGGGAGTTGGAGGAACCTTCTAGAGTGCAGATCTGCAGAGAACACCATCAGCAAATACTGCAGAAGGACGTCAGGACGCGGCGGACGCAGGTACAATCCTTCGGTTATGTGTGCCGCCTGCTGCAAAAATGGGGAATCTTGCGCTCCGATCACACAGCCGTCAATCGGCACCTTCAATCGCTGAGCAGAAAATATGGAATTCATAATTGGAATGTACTGCTGCGGCGCATCTGCGGAGCCCTGCAAACATAGAACCCTGGGATTGCCGAAGGTTGGACCTCCTCGTTTTGCCCTCTGAATATAGCAGAGAGCCATCGACAACGCTCCCGACAGGAGGGACAGCTGTGAGCAATTCTGTCCGCCATTCTCTTCTCCACTTCCTAAGCTCGCTTCGATTTCCATCTGAAGGAACCGCTGCATTCGCTGCATCAGCTGCTCGCCAAGTGGAGCTCGAGGATTGCTCCCATCTCCTCCCCCTGCCCTTCCTCCTCTTCCATCATCCGCCGCATGCCATCCACTTGCACCACTACCGCTCAGAGATCCGTACCCACCTTCACCAATGCCGTGGTTGCTCGTGCCATCGAGGCCATGCTGCTGGAGGCCAGAGCCTTGCCGCTGGGGCGTTGTGTATAAGTACTGGCAGGTGTTTGCGCCAGTGGCGATGACGGCCAGCTGGTTGACATGGTGAAGCATCAGAAATGAGTTGGCAAATACAATGACCTGGTCCATGTATTGATGGAAAGTCAGACTACGTGGACCGTTCAACAAACCTGTTGTCGAAGCTGCCGCTGATGCTAGCCGCTTAGCCCAAAATGAAGGATTGGCCTCAAGAAGAAGAACAAGGAGGCTGACATCGTCTGCCACTTCTTCCGCCTTTGACTCCATTTTCGCTAATGCTCAAACTTCCTTGCCTTGGGCCGATCTGCAAAATCAGCATAGTCGTTCGTTTCTGCATGTGTGTAAGCGAGCACACCAAAATGAGCAGTTGCTCCTTTCGGGGTTCCTTTATCGACCCTTTCACTTTCCCCATTCATCCTTGTTACCACTCCTACCTCTTCCCACTACTCACATTTCACATTTCAAAAGGTATTGAGACCAGTATCAGGTCCACATACATTTGGAATGATGTCCAGCGGAGCAGGGCACTAAGAATAGATACTGAATACTGACTTGACATTTGAAAACCCAAAGACTATAACAGCAGCCAACTGCAACAGGACAGAAACGTTTTTACCTAAAAGCCAAGGAGTGAGATGTTGAGTCCGCGCCTTCAGCCATGTTTGCTGGAGAGCTCTTCAATCATCTCTAATCTCGTAATGATTGGACGTGGATTGTACGGAAACAACTTACTACGATAAGTACGATCGAGTGCCGATCTGAGTTCGAGGAGGCAATTAACTGCAGAAATAAAACACAGATGAGACCCAAATCGCGATTCATCATCCGTATAAGATCGACCATCTGGTGGGAGAGTAGGAGGAGATAAATCATCAGTCAGACTCGCACAAGTTTCCGCAGCTTCGTCTCCGAACCTATAATTCTGTTCGTGCTTGAACAGCAAGTGCCTTTTCATTGATACGAACTCTGCCAAGTCGTCCGATCCTTTCCGCTTCCTTCTATCTGATGCCGGACTGCCGAGCTCAGCTCCGACTCGCGACTTGTCGACTAGTACTGCTTCTGTAAATGGTCCCCTCCCCTCCCTCACAACTATGTCCTGAAACACTGGCCACGAAGACTCCACCTGTTTGAGGCACTTCACAAGGTACGGGAGGAGAACAGCTCCCGTGTTTGGCGAAATCAAGTAGTCCAGAAGCACAGAGTGATCGTACTTCAGGTTGGAAAGGAAGACATGAAACAAGAACAGGGGATGCACAGCTTCAAGCAGAACTTTCCGAAAGAGCTCGTCTTTGCCGTCGTCGAGAACAACAGACGGCAGCGAAGGGGACAAACACTGCAGGTCAGAAAGCAGTAGGAGCATCATGTCATCGTCATCGTCGAATATCTGGACAAGCAATCTTGCAATCGACTCCTTGCTAATATCGCGTTGTGGCTGTAGGTACCGCTCCCAATCTCTTACCCACTTGGAGACGGACTTTTGCAAGGCCGCCAACCAGCACCGCTTCGGAGAATGCCAAGGCTTCTCCTCCAACAAGCACTGACAACAGGACTTGGCACCACTCAGACACCTCTGACAATCTCCTTTCCCGTCTAAAGCTTCTGTGCACGTATTCGTTATTACCCAAAGACTGTCATCTACAATATCACTCTCGTCCAGCGCCAAAACTGCTCGCAGTACCTTCACCAAAACCAACAACGCAAGTCGTTTGAGACCTGTGATGCGATGCCCAAGTTGACTGCAAAGCATCGTACAAGACAGCCCTGCGGCCTGCACTACCGGCCCCGCGGCTGCCACTACCGGCCCCGCGGCCGCCACTCCTGGTCCCGATCCCCGACTGTTCAATGACCGAAACGGTGATCGTCGACAGCCCGGGCTGCAGGGATCGTTGACCATCAAATCATCGAAACACGACGAGTGGCCTAGGAAGGGTGATGGAAGCAAGCTCCTCCCGCTGCCATGTGGCACCTGCTGAAAGATTTGGCTAAGGTCCAACAGATGTTGTGTTGAATCGGACGACAAGGAAAGTGTACTGGTACTTATAAATGCGAATGGTGAACTTTGAGAAACAGGAGGAGGAGGTGCAAATAAATAACTAAGATAACGAAGGGTCAAATAGAGACATGGACGAACGAGCTGCTCAACGCTATCAGACGTGTGGAACCATCTCGATAACCTAAGAACTACCGCCAGCAGTTTGTACTGCAATAAGCAACGCATCGGGTTCCGGCTCCAGGCACAAACCTCTGACGTCAGCTGCAACTGACTTTGCGTAACATCTGCTTGGAGTGAAGGGTGCATACCATGCCCCCTTCCCGTTTCCAGTAACACCTTCAAGGTGCAGACATCCTGAGAGAGATGGTCACGTACGCTCGGCGTTTCCCCACGGAGCCCACCTCTGCTACCCCTTGTGCTATGAAATGGCATCATATTCGCGCACTTTGACTGTTTGTCATTTTCGCCCTTTCCGCAGCACCTGAATCCCTCCTTAAGAGAACAGTCAGTACCGCCGAACACCATCCTTGCAAGCGGCAAGAGGCAAGCTGCAATAGCTCCTACTGCCGCCGCACATTCACTTCGTTGACGCGGCACTGCTGCTGCCTCCGAATGGTTGTTTTCCTCCCGTGTACAGATATTCTCCTCCAGCCATTGGGTCACTCGCAAAGCTGTTCCCAACAAGCGAAGAACTGAGGCTGCAAGAAGAGACAAATCAGCATGTCTGCCACGACGGCCGCATGGGAGCTCATGTGGCTCATCAAAGCCGGCAGTCGTTCTTTCCTCGTCGGCACCAGCAACTTCCATCTTCGCTCCCTCAAAAACCTGCTCGAGCCCTGCCACAACATCCATAAGGTTTTCCCTGAAAACACTCAGCCAGATGCGGACTCGACTTACACGAGCTGCGTGATTAAGCTTCAAACCTGCCACACGCTGCTTCCAAACGCCAAACTCCCGATGTTCCTCTCTGCATCCCTCACCATTCCCAGCAGGTTCAATCAGGCTCTTAGCCATCCGTCGAACCGCCTCCACAACCCTGAAGGCCCTCGATACACCTGCAGTAGCCGGGCACTCGAAGGACCTGTTTCCCTGCCCGCCCGCATTTCTACCATGCATCCTGGCCAGCTTCCACTCTTCCCTTTCCACCTCATCAAGCGCCCCCCGAGTGCCATGGCGTTTGCCCGCAGCGGCTGCAGCTGCAGGGTTCTCATCGTAAGCCGTTTGACGATGCCGGAAATGACAATGAGATGTGTCTGTTGACTTCAACAATGCACAACTTTGACTGGCATCCCAGTCACCACCACTATGTTGCTTTCCTGATGCTGTAGATGCCCTATTACTCCAACAGACGTTGTTGGAACGAATTGCGCCCACAGCATCGCCTCCACCAACCCTCCAGCCCTCATGGCAACTGGATACAGGTTCAACAGTTGCGTTGCCCACGCAGACACGTTCCGAGTTCGCATCAGCGCTGCAGACAGGCTCAATGCTCTCACTCCAACATTCGTTTGCAGGCGATCGAGGAACTACTTTCATTGTCGTTTCGCAATCATGGTTTATCTCCATCAACGGCTGCTTCAAGGTTCCCCAAAATTTATGCAGCAGTTCCAGCCAAGCACCTTCCCTTCTTCCAAACGCACACAGGCTGAGGCTGGAGTAGATCTTTTCGAGCAGATGCGAAACAAATGGGCAGTCGGCCAGCAGCAGGAGATTGACCATGTCTGAGCATTGCTCGTCAACGAGTTTGGCCACTACCTTGTTTACAAGCTCTCTCACATCGAGTTCGATGGTAACGAAACCTCGTCGTTTCGCACGGGGCCTTCCTGTTGCACCTCTCTTGATGTTGTTCTCGCTTCCATCCTCGATGCCGCTAAGGAGAACACGCCAGACGAGAGACAGTTGCAGGAGTGATGCGCGTCTTTGCTCTGGCCGTAGCTTCTCCGTCGGGATGTTAGTGAAAAGAGCATCCAGCACATCAGCAACGACAAGAGGCATACATCGGCGTTTCATAGACTGGATTTTCTGGGTCAGCAGAAAGGCTGCTTCGATTGCTTTCACTTTGCCAACAGTCCTCGTAGTCCGCAGAAGCGCATTCGACAGCCTCCTGCTGCATTTCTCAAAAAAACTTACACCATGCTTGCCCGCATGTCGAGCCGCGTAAATGTCGCCCGTCCATCTTCTCCAACGCCCTCCACCCTTCCTGCCCATCGCAGCCATGCGACACAATGTCCGCAGACGCCAACTGCGGATTCGGCCGCCCTTGGTACGGCTTCGCCATTTGCCCACGTGTTCAAAGGTTCTGTTCTTCACATGACAACCGATCGCACGAGCAACAACCCCTACGTGGCTTTCCTCCTCATCCCGATTGCCGACGTCAGCTCCACGCCCAGCACATTCTTCATCATCTTCCATAGATGGAGCGCAAGCATACAGTGAGCAATGCTCACAAATACTACGATTTGTCTCAGTCCTGACTGTTTTTTGCAGACATTAACATACATACTAAGCTCACCCACATCTCACATACCTTTTTCAGGCAAGCCCGAGCCCACAGTCTGAACCCTTTGCCAGACAGGAGGAAGCTACTGAGATGCGAGTAGCATCGGCATCACTTCAGAAACAGAGCCAGAACCTTCATCATTCTTGTCCTCGACTAACGTGTGTCTTACTTGAGCAGAGGTCATGCTAATTTTCTCTGTATCGTTCCAAATTTAGACAGACGTCCCGATGACAATCGCCGCTGAAGTTCTGCAAGCTGTGTGTCTGAGAGACGTAGAGGTTTCGCCGCGCAATGTTCAGTGGCCCTTGCCTGAGAGGAACGACGCCACGGATCGTGCATTCAGCAGTCCATCATTCAGATCGATCTTGACGCAGATCACGGATTCACTGCAGCTTAGAGAATTGACTCACACATACGTCACACATGGAGGGAAGTAATTTCTTCCAGCCCCTACCCCCCTACGGAACTAGATATGCCTGGTGATTATGGCACCAATTCCAGAAAAAGAGGAAACACAAACCCCACCAATAGCTCTTTGTGAAGTGCGAGGCTTCTGATACATACCTGCATTGGACTTCTTTCGAGAAAGAACAACGGGCTTGAGATATCATCAGTGAACTGACCGGCCCTAGGTAATTCAGGACTGTAGTAATTTACTCGCCGGCTTGCAGTGGAGTTCGAGCTCGGGTCTGTATTTCAACAGTTCAGGTCAGGGGTGTACTAACTGACCTAGGCCAGGCCTGCCTTGGACTTCTTTTGAAACAGGGAAAGGAAAAAAGGGGAAGACTTCCTTTGTCCGAATAGAACGCCTGGTCATTATAGCTGTATTTGGGGCCATTTTCAGTCCGGATGCTGCAGCAATAATGACCGGGTGTTCTATTCAGTTGAAGACAGTAGCATTCCACAGTCTGGAGGGAGGCATCTATGAGACAAGCAACTCCATCAACGCTTGCAAGAACCAAGCAGAGAGAGCGAATACGCTGAAGAGCTGTCTTGACCCCACAGATACATAGCATCGAGTCAAGGCCCCTCCTCGTCACCTGCCTCCAGTCACTGAATCCGTCAATTCCTCACAGATTATTATTACGTACTGTTGTTACCAACTGGAATGAAAGTTCAGCTCTCTCTCTCTCTCTCTCTCTCTCTCTCTCTCTCTCTCTCTCTCTCTCTCTCTCTCTCTCTCTCTCTCTCTCTCTCTCTCTCTCTCTCATAGAACTGCAGGTGGGAACTGTCTCTGTGCCACAGCAACTCATCAACCCCACTAACAGATGGCCATCACCACAGCCTACAACATCTTCCTCCTCCCTCCAGCACTTCCTCTCACCCACACATAGAGTCATGGGCTCCTACTCTTGAACAGCCTACAGCCTTTTCTCTGGAGGCGGCATTCATGGGTTCGCTGCTCCGTTCTCTGGCATCCAGAATACCCTACGGCAAGCCCAAGGTCGGTGATCGCATCCGCTTCCGCCATAGCCAGTGCGCAGTGCAGCTTCCGCCATAGCCAGTGCGCAGTGCAGCTCCAGAAGGCGGAATGAGAACGAGTCAGCTCGGCTACAGGGTGAATGTTGCGACTCCAACGAAGCATGCTGCCTGCAGGCCTGAAGGCGCAAGAAACAACTTTCAGAAGACTCATGCCAGAACGATTTTTTCAACTGAATTTGATGACCGTTACGCCGAGATTCAGCGGCTAACTGAATTTGATGACCGCTACGACGAGATTCAGCGACCAACTGAATTTGACGACCGTTATGACGAGATTCAGCGGCCGAAGCCCTCTAGAGTATATGGACTTAACCAGTCTGCCAGAGACTTCCAGACCAGATGGTAAAGGGAATTGAACTGAGTGTATAGGACAGAAGCAGGCATTTAGAGACTGTCCAGAAAGTAGCAGAAACGCTTTTCCAGATCCCGCGTTATATTCCTGAGAGTGACGGGTAACAGCCAAATGACTACTAAAAATTGCCAAACTGGGAATAAACCAGCGAAGCCGAATATTTTCTACCCTACCGTGCCACTAGTGGATTTGGGACCGGTTGTACCAGCTGGGCCCAGCCCGTACATGAGCTTTCTTGGCATATTCAAGAATAGACAACCGGTCAAAAAAAAAAAAAAGCCGACCAGTCAGGGTAGGTATACCGCAGAACAAACCCTAATGCTTCTGAGTTCATGAATAAGCGACAAAGGCTGGGACTATATAAGCCACAAAGGCTGGGACTATATAAGCCACAAAGCCTGGGACTATATAAGCCACAAAGCCTGGGACTATATAAGCCACAAAGGCTGTGACGATTTTAGCCACGAAAGGCTGGGACTATATAGGCCACAAAGGCTGGGGCTATATAAGCCACAAAGGCTGTGACTATTTCAGCCACAAAGGCTGTGACTAAGCTACGGAGGCTTTGACTATCTATAAGCCACAAAGGCTGTGACTAAGCTACGGAGGCTTTGACTATCTATAAGC